TATCAGCGGCTTCGAGTCTAGACACTCGCAAAATAGGTTGTCCAATTACTGTTTGTGTTCACAACAAACTTGGCGTTGAGAAAAGCAAACTGTCCGGGTCTTTTCGGCAAATCATGGCGGGATATCAAATTCAAACTATGATGGAAATTGTGGAATGGTTTCCAACTGACGTGCGTCACCTAATGGAATGGTAACCATAGAAATAACAACATTGTAAGCGCAAAACTGGCTTTTTCATCCCGATTGGTTAAATAGTGTTTGTATCTGAATTTATATAAACTCAAAGAAATGTCTCAGAAAGATGAAATATATTCTAACTGTGGAAAAAGTGCATTTCAATCTTTTAATAACAGCCAAATAGTCCGCTACCAAAAGGGGTTGCCATTGTGTTAGTGGGTGTAAGGCACAACAACTCTGGGTAGAGATCATTGGTAAGGTCATTTCTTGTAAACAATGCCAGAAAATAATGGAACTACAAGTTTACGGCCAATCTTGGAACACCAGCAGAATCAACCACCTTGTAACGTAAAACAATTAACGGAAATAGGAAGTACGGTAACACATTTTAAGAAATGTATTGTGTCGATGTAAAAAGCGAAACTAAGCAAAACCATTCTACTCCGTATCACCATGGGAGAGAGTTGCACCTGTTTGAGATATATTGGTACTAACACTAAACTGAAATCGATATATATATATGCATTTTTAAATGCAATAGTGGCTAACATGAAAATCGATTAGTCCAATCGAAGTCGTTAAACGGTTAATTACATGTTAACGCAGTTTAAGAATTCGATTCAAAGTAAAATATTAATATACATGTGAGATGTAATATCTAGAGCCTCCATGCCACACTCACACACGCAGCCTCACACCCAACCCTCCCCAGTGTCGCCTTACAGAATGTCAAGAAACAGTACATGCTAATGTAATTATAGAAATAAATTTAGTTCAACATTATATATTTATATATTTACACTTTATAAACACTTTACTGAGACTTTGTGTAATTTTCATAGTATTGTGATATGATCAAGGGAGGTAAGCATAGGATAAAAAAGTATATTCTTTTAATTATTTATTTTTTCTCCGGAGTACTATATATGTCAGAATGGTTTTCGTTGTGGCTTTCTCAAACATAACAGATGCACAAGTAAATCAAAACTCGTGAATATTCATGTGATATGTAGACGTTTAAGTAACTTTACAGTAAATTAGTGATATACCTTTTTCTGGAACCTAAGGACAAAGGTAACACAAAGATATCGTGCATTTTTTATCAGATTCATTTCAATTATATATGAGAATGTTTCTTTTTTATATTGTAAACTTCATAGCTTGAAAGTAGCAATATCTAGAATTTACTTTAAAACTTATAAAATATATTTTCATTTGTTTATTTTAGTTGTTTAGTGTGAAATCACATTTATTTTTGGAAAGATATTCCAAAATAAGTAAGAAAACAAAGCAGGAGATTACAAATCAAGAGAAGTACACCTTCTTATATGGTTTATGGAGAACTTGGTACTCGTCCATTATCTATTTCAGTGAAATCCAGAATGATAACGTTTGGTCATAAATGATTAATTCCAAAGAATGTAAATTAAATGTTATTATGTATAATTTGCTGTCATAATCAAATTTATGGTAATAATGCAGTCCCATATTTAAGTCATATCCAACAAATATCAAATGATTGTGGCTTAACTTACATTTGGAATGCACATTTCGCAGAAGAATTGAATACTTCCTGGTTAAAATTAGATGTTAAACAAATTCTCTACGACCAATTTGTTCAAAATTGGGAGAATGATGTATTTAATTCATCGAAAGCAATATGGTATAGAATTTTTAAAGAACAGTGCAAGTTTGAAGTTTATTTAGATCTTTTAACTGCATGATAACGAAAAACATGTTTTGTGGAAATTAAGAATAACGAATCACAAATTTATCATTGAGACTGGAAGATGGAATAGCATTGACCGTCAAAATAGAATTTGCACATATTGTAACAGCCAGCAAATTGGAGATGAATCTCATTACCTAATGCAATGTCCACCACTTAATGAATTCAGAAAATCATATTTAAATAAGTATTATTATATAAGACCTAACACATTTAAGGTTTAACGAGCTGATGAATTCCAAACATGTACGTACCTTGAAAAAACTATGTGCATTTATAAGAATAATCTTTAATAATATTTGTCCTCCTTGATATGAATCATTTGAATAATATTGCTTATATTGCGCTTGTGTGACTTACCTTATGAACAACTGTATTGTAAATTATCTATTGTAAATATGTTTCTCTATTCTTTGTATTGTTATAAGAGAATAAACTGAATTGGAACCTACCACGATTCTATATTTTTATGACAGGTAATAATAATTCTGTCCAACAACCTAATTAATCAACAGACCATCCTAACCGTCTGGAGCCCGCGGCGTCATGTTTTCAGGGGGTTTCTGACTGGTATGAGGCTAGTACACAGGTAAGAACTCCAGGTGAGCACAGTTGTTGTAATTGATTAATGATTTAGCACCCAAACAGCACCTACTGTCATTACCTAATCGACTTATCATGGTCATTTTAGCGATTCGTGAGACCACAATTCCCATTGATGTAACGTAAAATATATGTGTATAACTGATTCGGTGATTTCTTTATCCTTCAAACAGGTTGTAAAGGAGTCTGATATTCTTGTAGATATTTTCAGTACCATGTACTTTTGCGATTTTCAACATTTATTTTTTATACACAACACACCATAAGCGTGTTAATATGGCGGTAGTGAACACGTGACGCTGCTGTGGTCATCACTAAATAACAGGTTATAGAAAGCAGGCAATCAAAATAAAATGTCGCTCCTACGACTCTAAATCATTAGATTTATATATTTTGTAAATTATGCAATTTAATTCAACTTTATGGTGACCATTTGACCAATGTTTGATTTTCTGTTTCAAAACGCACCTGTTTCATCAATAGTAATTATACAAATCTTACGTAGACATGACCATACAAAAATAAGTATAAAAACAATATTCCTTTGTGAAATTAATACACAATGGGAAAAGTTCATAAAATGAAGTATATGTAGAACACAAAATAAAGTCGATTATCGGAGCAGCCCGCTCTTTTTTCTTGACATACATTACGAAACAATTAAAACAGAACAGCGAGTGTTTTCGCAAAATAATGTAAGTATTTCTTACGAAAAAATGGACGAATAACACCAAAAGCTCGTTTATACAAGTAGAGTAGTCAAAAATATAAAACTGGACCTGAGGTAGATAAGTATGAACATGGTTATAAAGTAGGTTGTCAGAGGTGAAATAATTAGCCGAACGAAGTGACGAAATGATAAGTGAATTAATACATGAAATAAGTAAGTTGCAGTTTTACTTGAATAAAGGATAAACGTCAGTGATATACAGTATGGTGATCTGTAGTGATACAGTATGGTGCTCTGTAGTGATACAGTATGGTGATATGGTGATCTGTAGTGATACAGTATGGTGATCTGTAGTGATACAGTATGGTGATCTGTAGTGATACACACACATGTGTGATTTACCTGTGCAGCCACACACGGTTCGAAAGCATATTCATTTATCGGAAAAACATATTTTATCCGTTGAATCACTTAAAATGTGCCCATGTAACTACGCTCTTTTCAGTGTCACATGGGTCAGGAAAGGAAAGGGTGATTGATAAGGTCAAGGTTACAGAAAGCGAGATTGGCACCAAAAGCAAACTTAGAGGAAATCCATTCAAACTTTGTGTGCCCACCTAGTCACTTGTCAAAATAAAATCATCACAGTATTCAAAGATTTACATCTTAACTATAAAAACTGAATATCTTATTAAATAACTTGCGTAATTATTGTGAAAAATTTGACAGTTGTATAGATTAATTCATTATGCTGATGAAATCCGATGACCCGAAAAACAAGAGAGACGTGCACCTGTCCAGGTGGCGGGATTTATGAAAAGTGAGTCTTACCTCAGAAATGATTGGCGAAATGAGGGAGGAGCATTCTGAGCTAAGGTTGATCATTTTGAAAGTGTCGTTTTGACAAAAAAAATTCTAGTTTTCCAGATGAAATAATTGAAAGAAACGAACTTGGAAATAAAAGATAGGAAACTATAGAAACGACTGGCTCGTGTGATGTATGAATTGCCTATGGCAGGTTAATATATGTATATACATGTACTTGCAAAATGAACCATAATAAAAATATTTAACGTCCATATGTTTCTCTGTTTATACATTTCAACCAGAATGTTCAAATTATAGATCAATGCAATATTTTTGTATTCGTTTATTTTCTGTAATTTATTGTAATTATTATAAGTGCCAATATTTTATACACTAGAATACAATTGCTATCATCCAGTGATTTTCTAAATATCGCCTTATGACTACTACATGTATATATAGTTTCCAGATCCAGAAAACAGGTTAAATTATTTTAAAACGTACAATTGTATTTTAATTCACACAGTCGTACAAAACAAATTTCTGTTCAGTAGCTGGACCAGTTTTACATCTCTATGGCTTGATCTGTAGATCTTCTCTAACCCCGTGTGACAGGTGAATGGGCCTTACAGGTAGAGGCAAACCGCGAGGTGATTTCGGGGTTTATTTCCTTTCATCTGGCTGAAATATCGGAGTAAATTGTCCCTTGACTCTTGCAAGTGTAATTTTCTATGACATTACACATCAGCAGTACTAAATATGGTGGTTAAAAGACCGAGAAGTCTCACCTTTCACGAGAGTTATTAACTAAACGACAACATCGCAAACCGAATTGCCCATCATATTGTCAATTAACGCCTCACATATGTAACACAGCCGTCGATTGGTTCGTGCTGTTGTCAATCTTGCCTATCCTGACCGTTGTCAGGTGAGCGTTTATATTCTAATGAGCTCGCGAGGCGCGATGGGACCGCCCCTTCATTAATCAAATGACATATGTACACATTGGTGGGGTCGTCTGTATCTTATCGTGCTTGTGTTGAACAGAAGCTATAGGTGTGTTTACGCGGGATATTCTATGTTTGTATTCCCCGATATACAAGTGTGATATCATTTCATATTAGGAATACACGTGTAATAATTACACATATCACCCACATTAGAACTGGACAAAGTAGTAACTCATTACATTCGGTGGACATATGTAATTATTCCAAGTAAAATTTGTGGCGAACTAACCTATGTACAAGTGCAAAGTACAGGTAAAAGTGAAACAATAGTGTACCTAACCAGTGCAGGAAATAATGGAACTAGTTTAACAAAACATCTGGAGTTCTTTACCTTATAATATATCAATGTGTGAAATGATGCCAAGTTCGTCCCAATACCGACTGTCCGAAGAAACGGGAAGTGACGGAGAAACATCCATTGACTTTAGACTCAACCCGGACATGAAACTGGACAATCGGTTACCAAGTATGTCGCACTCAGAATCGGACGATGGACTGTCCGATTCGGACAGTGTCTTACACTCTCCAGACACCGATGGACACAAATTGGTCAGTCCTGAGCACGGCACGCGATCAGAAGAGTGTCACAGCGGTACCGAGTTCGAATCCCCAGACAAAAATCTAGGATCGCCATTATCTAAAGGTAATTGATATGGCAACTAATAAAAAAATGGTGTTTTATAGGAGCCGCTTTAACACCGTGAGTGTAACGGACAAAAAATTAACATAATAATTAGATATTTAACGTCTGAAAATTGCTGCACGATGGCATACGTTTCGTAATTAAATAACTGCATGTAAATTAATCATATTTTTAGTTTTGAAAATACTGAAGATTTCTAAATATTGGTTAAAATTGTGAGGTGGGGTTATACATACGTATTTTTTTTACTAATTTAATGATCAACCGACATATTATGAGATACCTTTGGTATTATATTTTACACGTATTATAGTACAGAAAATTACATTGGTCGTACAATGGCATGCACCTGGAAGAATTCGAACAAAGCCTAGATATATATAGTAAATCCGTGATTTTGAACAAAATGTAATGTAATATTTTGTGTAAGGAGTTTTCGTTACGCTCTTCTTTTGTACTTATGTCCTACATAATTTTCCTTCAACATCCCCTAACGTCAAGTTGTTGAAAGTTAACGTTAATTAAGTGTTTTAAGATATGTAACTAATATTTATTACAAGACTGGATACATATTACAATGAAGTATAATGCTATATAGTAAAATTAAACTGTCACCAATGATTGGTATGAGTCATTTGAATTAATATTCAAAACCTATAAGCTACCCAAATAAATTACTGCGTATTGTCGAAAAAAATGATGTTATACAGGAGTTGTTTCCCTTGTCATGTGATGAATCTTACGACGATAATATTACTAACGATTTTAACATGGACTGTGCTTTTTAAAAAGGGGACGAAAGTGTTATCTTGTACTGAACAGTTTTTGTTTGCTCCTTAATGCATAGGGCTAAAACTGTGGCAGAGAAATAGAAACTGTGACGGAGAAATAGACAGATTTCTGTTATCCGAGTTTGCCATCAGGATGACCAGAAATCGGAACCATTTGACTTGAATCAAACGTATTTACTTCCTTATTTAAAGACATATGTGACACATTATCACATGACCAAAGTTTTTCTCTTGGTTTTTTTCCGAAACAACTGAAACGTAATATTTGTTATTTTCTATTACTAAGTGCACGCGCGAAAATACTAGGGATTCCATTTTTTAAATTATGATACAGACTGTTCGAATAACGAAAATATGTTGTTTTTTTCCTCTTATTTGAAATCCTGTGGCCTTTAACAAAAGTGGCAATGTGACCCCCAGTACAGTTAAAACAATAGACGTTTTTTCATAATGTGTTTTTTTAGATGAATTATCCTATTTAAACTGTCAGGTTCTTCAAAGTATAAAAGCCCGTTTTCTGTCTTTAAGGGAAACACAGTGCATTTCAATTAGACGGCGATAACAAATCCCAAGTGAATCTTGCCTATTGTTCGGTTAATCGGGGAAGTCTGCTATATACAGATGTTACTGACATGAATTTCAAACTTGTTTAAGTCACGTTTTTGTCTTATTACAAGCTGATCGATACCTGATTACACCTTTATCGATTGATCAAAGTATTTACCTGTACTCACCTGAGTTACAGGTGCGAAAATCCAATCAGATGCTTTCGCGATAACTGGTATGCTTTAGGGGTTAACAGGTTTCGTCTTCGGGACCTAACTGGTCCCTGAAGGGGTCATTTGACCGTTTAGTGCTTTGGTAATTGGGAAATAATGGTCATAGCTGTGAACAAGTCTGTTTCAACTTGGCTGTATACTAAACCGACAAAGGATGACGATGACGGAACAAAAAGTCCAGAACTAATTGTTACTTCCAAACCCTTTGTAATTATTTTCGGACACATATGTTAGTTCTTCATTTTATTTTCCTTCCAGTTTGGACGTGTTGAAACCCTGATTCAAAATTAAATGCCTTTCGAAATTTGAGAACGAATAGTTTGAACAATTTCAGGTTTATTCTAACACACTTTCGCTAGAAAATTATTATCAATATAATCCCGAATCTACACAAGTTTACTTGTTACTTCGGATATAGCTTGTCTTCAAATCCATATATTTTTCCTGTTTTAAATAAACTAATTGTTTAAAACAATTTTTGAGCATATCAGTAATTTGTGGAATAATAAACTTTGTTAATAAATACAATTTTATATTATATAATGAACATCTGATAGCCCCGCACTAAAGAAAAACACTGTACAGCACCGGTACAAAGTTATAGTACTGTTTAAGTACAACGGTCACACCTGGGTCAATGCAATCAACATCCTGAGTGCAGGTGTGTGGCATGACGAGTTCATTATAGACATTACGTACGATACGTTTGGTACAAACGAATTCCTTTAAACAAATATATCGCAATCGGCAGAGAAAACATCTTACAGTTCATCCGTTAAAAAACCTCAACGACATATAGTAATACACTTTTTATTTCTTTGAAATGATAAAACAGGTATGAAGTGAAATATGTAATCGTTTATTGAGAGGAACAGCGCCCCCTTCATTGACTTGTAACACTCATATATCATTGCTCAATTGTGTAAGCTGTGAGGCTCAGATCTGTGAACGTGTTTTTTGCTTGGGAAACTTTTGGACATTGAGGCGAAAACTGTATTAAGAGGTGATCAAACGATTTTTAAACGGATGATGACAAATACGTTGATGGGATTTTAATTGGCCGTGAAAATCAACAACGCGAGATCATTTCACTCATCTAAGGCTATTAAAGGTTACCGACAAGGAAATCTTTGACTGATTATCCACAATAAATGCTTAAATCCCAATTTATTAAGTTTTTTTGGAGACAGCTTTTTTTCTTGTGACTATGATTTTAGGATATTTCGATTAAAAAAAAGCTCGATTCAAATTTTCAATTAATCATCGCGGTTTTCCCAGTGCAGTTGTCAAGAGCTATTCCATACACGGGATGTATATCTCAATATTATGATGTGTCGCTCCGGACGTAAGAAATTGATGACATCCTTAGTATGATTATTTGAGAACAGATTCGTAAAATAGTTGTATAAAAAGGACACATTGCATTCTTACGTGAATATGACTGTATAGAAAATTACATTCTCAACACGTGACACATGAATGCCACTGTATCTATGGAAACACAGGTGCAGTGTGGCAACACAGAATATTTGTCACATAAGTACCGCATATGTAGTAGCTATCAATAATTAATTCAATATTCTTACCCAGCAGGACCGCGTATTTCTTGTATACTATACCTTCCTTGTCGGCATTATAACTGTATACAACAGTCACGTGTATACAGTCACGTGTATACAACTATCAACGTTGTAATAAATTGTTTAATATAAGCTGGATAACGTGTGCCGGTTTAAACCCGGTTTGTTAATCGGCGATAGCATAATATGAACACATCCACTGGCTTATTTATCTTCAGTTCAAAACTGATAGACATTTTTTTAATCGGCTTTTGAGAGATTAGATATTCGTTTTCCTAAATATGATAATGTTTAACAAGAGCGTATAATATTGCAAAGACATCTCTACATTGAATACACCTGAATAGTCAAGGTACAAACAAAAACAACTTAACATATATTTTCCTCTGAATCTCTGTTAAAATCTTTGCATTTGATCTATATGTTTAATCTATAAAACAAATGCAAAGTATATTTTAATTGTTGCGTAAATGAAATGCTATAGCGCCCTATATAGTTTGCAAAATTACTCCAAGGCGCTTTACAACACATGACAAAATAGTATTCCTGCAGTGACAGTAATAAATAAAGTAGTTAATAATTTTATTTGACTAATATATTTCGACAAATATAAAGCTGGTATCAACAGTTATGGTAATTTTTCTTTCGCCCCGGCTCCTTTTTAAAATGGTAATAGACAAGGATACGTTTTGGCACCACGTGATTGTTATTGTACATATTAAACTGGTGTTATGTCTCGGAGACAATAGAGTTAACAAACACCTATATGTCATATGATTTATTGTATGTACGTATATAGATAGAATCGGAACCGGTCCCGTCTTAATCAGAGTTCCTATTTAACAAGAGCAACAAAACTCTATATTAAATACACCCGCACGTTATTTTTATTTCTATCTAATATAATATTATAGTGAAAAAATAGTAAAAAATTAACACATTTTGATCAAAGAAATTTCGCTTTTTTATATATTATCTAGACTGTGTCCCTAAAAATACACGACTGGTTCTGAAAATAGCACTAATCATTGTATTAGTATATTTAATATAAAATATATAGTAAGTTTTTAAGAGGTGTTCGAAACAAATACCAATTTTAACTCGACATGAGGTCACTACATATGCAACAACTTGTCTTGTTTTCATGTTCGTGCAAATTTCGCTTTCGTTATAAAAATTCAATACAATTGTTTAATGCAAGCCAATATCATTATGTGAGATCAAAATAGGCTCAATTCTCAGTTTTGTAAATTGTTAAAAGGGTTATTCGCGTTTAAATGTATACTAAATCATAGCTATGGGTTAGAATTGTGATATATTGGGAATACACAGAAAAACTTGGTATATTTTGAGAGATGTATGATATACTCGAGATATAGGTAGAAATTTATATTTCGAATTCACTTTCAGATATGGGATATATATTGGGAGAAACCGGGTAGACTTTCAAATATAAAGCAAACTTTGCTATATCGTATAGACTTTGAAATACCTCATACTTTGAGATATCAGATGGAGTTGGTAATAACACAAACGGACTACATAGCATTATCTACAACAACTGGTAAACAAAATCATTAAATATTCCTTTTTTAGTTAAAAAAATCGTTTTATTACAACAACGCAATATATGGTTATAAATTTATTCTTTGAAAATAATTTTCTCGTTTGCATTTCATTTTATTCTTTTAAAGTCAACATTTATCATTAATATAAGGAGATGTGAGATCGTTATACCACAAGTGCCACACGTTTAATGGGAGATTTATCATTTATGTTGTTGGTAATAATAATGCTCTTTTTTGTTAAAGTCTTTTTTTTCAAAATAATTTATCAAAAAGTGTAGAGGGAAGAAACGTTTTACATGTACATATTAAAGTATAATATTTCGAAATATGGACTATTGTCAAGCGCTCGTCAAATCCATGATAAAGGAATGTATAATGAACACGTACATGTTGGACATGACAAGCTGTTTAATATTTCATGAGGCGTAATTACCAGAAAGCTGTACTACGAAAACTTCTGATTTACGACACGTCTGCTTAGTCCCCACTATTATGTCTCAGATAACTATCATGAAATATATTTCAATTGTGTTGAGCTGTTAAATATATCATTTCAATTCTCTTCAGTTGTCGTGTAAGAAAGGTTATTAATTAGTCGTAAACCGAGATAATTAATTCATATCAATGTTTTATTGCCTCGCGCGGCGCGTTCGATGACGATTCCCACTGTTACACAATCATCTACACTCGATGTATTTTTGATTGAATAAATTGAAACAGAAACAAGTCATTGGTTTATCGCCACAAAACTCTTAAATATGTCCATGTTGTCAGCTGTTCTGGGTTTCGAAGCTACAAATATTAGGATTTTGTAATTAGAGGTATTCTGTTGGTTTTCCCGCTGTTTGATATCTCCTATACAACATCAGTCGAACTCGTCCTTGATAAGATTTTCAACATAGGCCTTTGATAATGATATTCCACAACTATACCGTGAAATCGACGTTGATGGATACTTTGATCTACAGTGTTGATTGAGGCCAGAAATTCCTAATTATGAAGATATACAATCATCATCAACCACTTTTGTTAATATCCGGACTAAACGCACCGATCACTGTTTCGACGATTATCCGTCCCACTGGTATTCAGACGTAGTTTACACTGCATTTAAAGTTAATAGACAAAGGCTGCTTTCCTATTACTAATTAAATTAGTTCCTTTCGATCTTGCAGAACTAAATATAATTGATAACGACGAAGAGATGAAATTTTGTTTTCAAAAATACACATACCTATTTTAAAGTTGTACAATGGATCTACGTAGTAAAACGGACAATCCTGTATTGATATGAACATTTTTATTGTTTCACGTTCTAGAAAATGGAAATGTACAACAAGTGGTCATATAAATATCATTTTCTTCAACAGAATAACTATTTATATCTGACACCGTGACTCATATCCAAATAATAAGATACAGTCCATAGTTCAATATCGTATAAAACATATCTTCATTACAATTGCAATTGACTCATTTTCTTTTTCCTCTCACAGGTATTTACCACAGATACATATTCATTAAAGAAAATACATTAATTTAAAATATCAAAACTTATACATCACATTTTACTTTCCTTAATTTCGGATCTGTTCAGTAATCGTGCGATTTACATATGAAATCAAAATGTTCTATACTACACGTGCATCGACACTCTAATTTATCTGATAATTAAATACATAGAAACTTTAATGATAATAACGCTCGCTGACGTCATGTTATAATAAACCACGCATTCATACAGAATGTGTACCACATATCGTGTAGGAAACGGTCTGACTTTTTGTAGAGGTTAATTTCCGTTTGTTTTTATGTTTACTCACTTCCGGTTGTTTTCGACTTCGATTGGAGCACACAGGGACCTGAGAATTTGTTACAGCTATATCTGGACTTAAAGTACGGTGTCTTATATAATCATTGAGAGACGGCATTTTCTATTTTAGCATTCAATAAACTTCTGAAGAGTGCAGATATGACAAATGTGTTACTTATTCTAAACTTCAGTGTAATATATATCCCCTTTATTTCTACAGACGATCTTCAGGACGACTCTCAGGTCAGGCGATACAGGACGGCCTTCACCCGCGAACAAATAGGCCGCCTGGAAAAGGAGTTCTACAAAGAGAACTACGTATCCAGACCGAGGCGATGTGAGCTGGCCAAACTTCTCAACCTCCAGGAAAATACCATCAAGGTTAGTTTAGGACAAATCGCCACGGTGTTGTATAGACGATTACCATATGGCTTGAATGACATGAAAATAACTCAAAATTTGTAATGAAAATACACGTTACTTTACAACTTTACAGTAGTAATAACAAGATGTAAAATTATTTAAATTCAATCAGTTAAATTACATAAATTCAATCAGTTAAATTATATAAATTCAATCACAAATTTGGTATCGTAAGTATGTTTTGAGTGTATGAAGTATGTAACCGATTCCACCAAAACGTTATCCTCTTTGATATAACGGGATCAATGGGATCAGTAATAATTGACTTACTAAAAATAAATTACAACTAATTAAAATAGACTTGTTATGAAAAAATTATGTTTGCCATTTGCAAATATTCTATTAAAAATATTTTTTTTTGCACGTTTGGTAAAAAGTATATGTAACATGATTACTGATTTGACTTTTTTGGTTTGTTTATTGTCAGGTTTGGTTCCAGAACAGACGAATGAAGGACAAGAGACAGAGAATGGCCATGGCCTGGCCGTATGGAATCGCCGATCCACATCTATATGCTTATTTAGCAGCGGCTGCAGCTTCGTATCCATACGGAATTTCTTCTCCTGGATCAAACCCTTTCAACTACTACGCTTCGCTTGGAATCCAGAGACCCTCTTCGGCAGGTCTCGGACAATACTCATCTTTTGGTGGTGGACCTATTCGTTCACGGTCAGATATTCATCCCGGAATGTCAGGCTCACTCATACGCAATCCAACAATGCCAATCCCGCACTCAATGCCAGCCACTTCCTCGATTGGTTGCAATATGCACACCTCCCTTGACAATTCATCTTCACTCATCCATGGACATTCTTCAATGCCAAACACGTCACCACCAGCTGATAATTGTAACTGTAACCCGTTGTTAGGAGGACTTGGCAATATACCTACGTCACTTCCCTCTGCGCAAGCTCCGAAGGCGCATTCGAATACAACATCACAAGGACTGTTTCGTCCGTTCCAGACCGATTCCGAGAGAACGTGATGGTAGGAAGTCTAGTAATTGTAGGAAGTGAACAAAGTATTAATCTGGGACGATGTCAATGAAATTCACACTTCATAATACATTAGGGGACTCATACTGAGTTATGTTATGTTATGTCGATGGACAATTTTCCTGTGTTGTCTGTTTTGAAGAAACATATGTAAATAGTTGTCTTAGTTGTCGAAAAGCCAACGTGATGTGTTGTGTTCAGAAACTTGCAAGTAACCTCCAAATGATCTTCCGTTTTTAACGGAAACAATAATGGTTTGTAACACTTGTCTAACATCATATGTGTATGTGTTCGGATGATTTAGTAATTAGCCCGTTGACACCCTCGGTCGAATGCCCCTCGAACAGAAGCATCTTATTCCATACACTTGTATTCTCACGTTGACTGTTCCAAATGCTTTAAGTCACTGGAGGTAAAACTGACAGTATATTCAGCCGTTGTACTTACGTTTACGTGTGTGTTTACACGTGTTTAACGTGCCGTTTTAATCCATTCCGTTATTCATGATTCTACATTTATATTTATTTGTTCTGTATGGATTGTTCAATTGATGCTGGGATTCTTGAATCAGTGTTGAATTGAAGAAAATAATAAAATATGTAATAAAATAACATGCTTATTATTTTTCCCCGAAAGATTTACACGAAATATCATCTCAATATGGCGACATCGTGTGTGTGCTCTAGTTCATATGACTTTCGATTATTCATAAGGTCGTATGAGGAGAGTGGTCTCCCGTAAACGAAATATGCTAATTATTTTTCCAACATCTTCGAATATCGATTTTTTTTCTACATATAATATACAAACCTTTGTTGATAAAATGTAGTCTTCCGCGTACATGTAAAGTCAATGCACTTCTTGTCAACTATTTTGCAAGGTGACAGATAATCCAATTATTTAAAATTAAGCATTTCCTTTGAGCATGCAAGTATTTGTCTTGTTGAGCTTTTGTCTTCATTTTACATCAAGCTGTGTCATTTTTGTCCTCTGATGCTCTGTAGTTGTCCTATCTCGCCTTATCTGCTGGATATACTCGGAAAGGATGATATACCTAATCATTTGTTCATTTACCGTAACACAAGGAATGGTGTGAAACAAAGGTAATTCATACTGCCCGCTGCCGGAGAGTGACCCTTCACCCTGAGAAGTTGACTGGCGAAAGTCAAAAACTTTCCAAGCCTAACATTGACCCTTTCTCCCTTTCTGAGTATGATAAACACTTACGCCATGCTTCATACAAGATGTTTATTACAATCTATCAAAACCATCAATTTATGGACATTGCTCGTTAACACATGACAACTTACAAAATTAATACTGATTCAAGTCACGTTCTTCGTAATTTCAGCGGAATAATCAGATCGGGAGCTTGACAGAATTTAGTAAATCTAGAGATAAAAACAGACATTTTTATTGTTCGTTTGTAAGCAAATCTAAAAAAGTTCACAAAATTTAATGCGTTTGCTTTCACCCCAGAAAAGGATATTTGCAATACGCGTAAGGTTTTTTGAAGAGCGTTACACATGCTTGATTTTTGGAAAATAATAACCATGTATTTTTCACAATAATATATTGTTATTAACAAGTATACGATACGTGCAAAACGAGAGTACGATACCTGTTATATATGTACACACATGTAAAGAGTGTATGGTATACCTGTTTTACACTTATAGATCTTTAACGGAAAGTGGATACCTGTTATACACTTATTAACCTCAACACAGACCTATAAACAGGAAGCGGATTGACTGTTATAATTAACATATCTGTAAACATTGAGATACCTGTTATATATTTACACGCCTACACATGGGATGTAATTATCAATGTGACAACTAGCTTGGAGTACCTAAATAATATAACCGAGACTGCAGGACAAGATCTCTCAGTTTCTATGTAAGACAAAAGAGGTACTCGTTGGAACATTAATGAAATTTGATGGTATTATTGATAAATACTCTTTTACTTTACCAAAGGACGTATCGAAGATGAATTTAAACGTATAACTAAGTCGACCAGATCATCTGAGGAAATCCCGACATTTTTATTGTAAATTGAAGTATTATCATCGACGACGTTGAAAATCCAATATCTTAAATTAAAACCTCTAATCTATTGCTGCCATAGATGATGATGATGGTGAAATGTTTCTTGTTTAAGACAAGACAGCGACACATCTCGAGAGTATAAAGAGTAGAAACCTGCGAGTTCAGACATTTACAAATATTGAAACTGAGACAACTAATGTCGGAAAAATCATCCGAAGGAGCCGCCCGAAGGTTACTTTTTTCACTTATATGTTGGATGATATTCCCTATATTATAAAAGAGGCCTTACAAACTCTTTTTGAAAGGGAATGAAGATGAAAATTAAAGTTACGTTAACATTTGCAATCCTATATTACAACATACTGGAGAACAGAATTACCCGTACATTAAAACAATCGAAACCTTTTCTCTATTCCAAAATACAGGTAGACAAGTATAAAGTCATCACTTCTTCTATTAACTTTAAGCTCAAGTAGATGTACTGGTTAAATCACAGCTTTCTCATGGTGTGTTTGAGAAGGATTCGTTTTTCTGATCCAAGAGATATAACACCATCCCTGTACCTTAAGCGCTGAAAGCTTGATATTATAAACATAACCAGACGTGTTCTGTGCTTCGTTCTGCTTGTCAAAAAGCCCGATATTTAATTTTATTTGTGGAAATTTCAGGTACGAAGACAAATCTTTTGCTGAATCTATGCTTTATCCTTTGTGCCTTCTGAACACAAGGAGACATGAAAAAAAGGCGACAATTAATTGACGACATCCATTGTAAGACTTCGGACTCATCCTACGTACTCGTTCTTTCCGGTGGTGTCCTGTCAACCTGTGAACTCGTAAAGACCATAAACCTAGTAAAACAGTTTATGTCAAATTAACTACGTGTACAGTATGTTTACTAATCGCAATATTGACCCCGAATTCCTACTTTCTAAAGAAAGGAATATACTTTTGGACAACTAGTTTCACATTTTTATGATAGTCAAATACATGTTTATGTATAGTCCAGAAACAGATTTACAAATAAAGATAATTATGATAACTAGACGTATTAGAACATAAGTTTTGCATACATATTTCATGTTTATTTCTGTTTATACCATTAGCGTTTTGATGGGTATGATAACGGGAGAGGGTGTTGGTAATGAGGAATTTGTGCCACAGCTGTCTTTATACTTCAATGACAATAATATATATACAATATATATACTAAAAGATAGTGATGACAAAATGTCATTGTACTTTTTCATGGAGTTTATTTATGGCATTTTCTTGTTTACTGAAACCGAAATACGAGAAACCCTGTTAATTGATGTTTACCTTGATCTACTACGAACACAGTGGACCAAAAGAACATATTTACGACACCTTCTGAACGTTGACTCCCGCTATCTCAACTCTGACCGTTCGAGTGTCTGTATGAGAAAGGTTACGTCACCGGGTTATGTACGAAAACAAGCGTTCGAGTGATGTTGAGATGTTATATATTTTATCCTACAAATGTAAGACCACACGTTAGCATAAATAAACAAGTGACATTTCAAACGGTTCTCGGCTCCCAAGATCTGTCAGTTTTCCGTTGTTAGATACATTGTTCGACTATTTCAAGAATATCATTATGGTGACACGTTAAGTTATCTTCACCACTTCAAAAACAAAATGCTCATAGAAAATATGATAAATGTATTCGTTTTGTGAGAGGTTTCCCTCAACTATAAATGTATGTTGACTATGCTATGCTAAACTGCAGGAAAATGTACACGCTCAGAACTAGACACGTTATTGGTTAGTTAACATTTTAAATTAGACCATGTGTTTGTTATCAGAAACTACCAATTAATACATTTTAACTTTAAGGGTTAAAGAATCACTTTAACTGTTAACCTCATGGGACTTGAAAAACAAACTCTTTGTCTTTAATTACCTAATTAATTAAGCAACTTGCTTAAAACGCCAGTAATGCACTCTTATGTGCCATACGGAAGACATCAAAGCTCTGTAACCCTTTACACAAAGGAGGTAAAAAATGCAGGTTGTCTCGGGACAACTTGACACATGGTAATGTCTCATTATATAATCAGAGCTTCACGTGGATGATCATGTACTGTAATACGTAATATGACCCTTTGTTACACGGTCATTTTCGATTGTGAGCTATTTTATATTTTATAGAAACAATAGGACTTAAATTGATACTACCGGTATACCGGTGTGTTGAAGGCTTGACATCGTATAATTATCGGCTAACAATAAAACAGTTCTTAATCTTATTCAACGAAGAACTCTCCATAAGCATGTCACCACATAAAATGAAAACGGTTACTAATTTAGTCATTAGTCAGATTACAAAACATTTACAAATGAAGAACAATATGTATATCAGCTGGCATTAAACACTCAACTTCCTTGCTCCAGTGTTACGAACTGTATTTACCTAAGAAAATTGCTGAACTATTTTCTTTCATTGGAAAGCATTACTGGAATTAAGGAAAACAAATCAGCAGGCAGGGCTCTTTGTTAAACCAAGCAACGTTTCAGAATAAGAAAAAAACAACAAAAAAACAACAACTTACAAACAAAAAACAAGTGTCCCACAACTTTGAAAAGAAAATCTAACTTTTATTCCTTTGGCTTTCTGCATCACAAGTGTTTTGACTCTGCCGGTGGGCTGTCAGTGCCCAAGATTGGCTGTAACCTTTTTGCTGGAATTTTCCGGAGGACGACTTAAGATAAGGATTTTCTTATTTTTAAATTTAGTACCATTGCCGAGTCCTAATTTGACGAAATGGCCATGTGGTACAGCGATAACTTCCTTTCTGTGTCTTTCTACAACGACACACGAACTGTTGAAATAGGTGCTTCCAAACTAAGAAAAGTGTAAGCCCGACAACAAAGGTTTAACGGTTATTTCTTGTTATTATATAGATATCCACCATATTGTGGAAAAAAATAATATAATTTGTACATTATGTTTTAAAGTTAATTTATTATTTTCAAAAATTAACCGCACAATTCTGCATTCCTTCCTATTGGAAGTTTGTAATTGGAGATGCATACTGTACTTAGTATTTGATATAGCAGCCCCAGAAATATCACTAGATTGAGAAGTCATTGTGATAAAATGTTTGTGTTTGTACGCGAACTATTGGACTGATAATTTCAATATGTAGTTTGTTGATTTGTAATGTGAACGCCATGGTTTTTCTAGTAATGCCAAGTAATCTGGTTTGCTTCAATGTATGCCAGAGATCATTATGTAATGGAATTAAATTAATGAAGAACCAACTAAATTTAAATAGATGATATAGTTATGTTAATGAAAAGTACAATAGTACCACAGTGCCAATACACATAGAAAACTCAGAGCTCAAGATTTATACGAGCAGAAAAGAAGTGTTTAGAAGACATACCCTGGTTCTGCCGGTATTCTTGCATTAGTCCCCCGCTCAGATCGTGTAATGGGACACAACAGGTATTATCATCTTACCTGTGTATACCTCTAGTTCTGTAGGAGGGAGACTAACAGTTATAAATCACACTTAGG